ATTTTGTGGTCTCACTTAGCTTGAGGAATTTTTGTTTGTGCTGTTTAAATTGAAGAGAAGATTTCATTAACAAAAATATCCTTAACGATGGTTTGAGAAGAAAACCTTTTTCATGTTGATATGTTTTATTGAGGCAACACGGCAGTGCAACTGCCAACCTACCATATGGAATAGGAGTATGATAGCATAGCAAGTGTTGGGCTCAGAAAAACGAAGGGGAAGGAAATATCATCTGATAAAGAATGACAGGTTCCAATTGATGTAGTTAGTCTCCTGCTGCAATGATGATGAAAATTAAGATTACTTTAATGAGGAACTCCTATATCTTTCACTACATAATAGGTGCATTTCCTGTTGGAGTGGAATAATGTTATACAAGAAACATGAAGCAAAATCTGTAGTTTGATATATGCTTGTAAGCTATTAAAGTTTTTGTTATCTTAGGTTTGTAAATATTTGTTCAAAGTTCATAAAGTGTCTGAAAATTAAAATACGTATTCTATGAAATAAAAGTTTATGCTCGATTGATGTATTGTGGGCTAGTAACAAAAATGTAAGGTTAAGGGGTGGTGTGCATTGTTAATTGTTTAGTTACTATTTTTAATTTAAATATTAGAATAATGAATTTTTGTGATACAGTTGCCATTCAGTGTGAAGCAGCATGTGTTGCACTGTTTATCCTTTTCATCTTGTCTCACTTCTGCATATTCTATTTCAATTTTGGGTCATATAAGATTATTTTTGCTGGGATCGTCCATTGAACCCATTTAATTTTCTTACTCAGCCTGACATGCAAGCATCTGAGCAGGACCTTGAAGTAAGTATGGTTAAAGAAACCGATCTGAAATTGAGGAGAAAAAGCAGATTCCCCTTTCTTCTGGATTGAGAAGAAGATCTGTGTAAGCAATTTTTACCTCTTCTTACTGCTTTTTGTATTTTGTGGTTTCCCCCGATCTCATCATCTATTTAACAGGCCTACCTCAGGTACTGAAAAAAACCTCTTGAGCCTGCTGATACGGATTCAACACCTGTCAAATTGGATGCTGAAGCACATGCGCACATTGAGAAGCACAGGTACTGTTTACTTGAGTTCTATTGAATCCAATATGATTGTTAGATTGTGCTGCTTTGAGGAGTCTATATGTTATAATTTATAAACTCTGACCTAGCAAGCTAATTGTGTTTAATTCCCTATGTCAGTCTGTTTTTACTTCGCATCAACAGGTGACATTTATGTTCAACAGATCATGATTTATTGGTTGGATCATGATTAAGGCATGGTTAAACTAGTTATAACTAAAAATGAATATATTTTAAATTATATACTAATTATTTTAAATAAAAATGAGAATAAAAATGGAGAAAAAATAGATTATTAACAAACCCAAAGTTGATTTCCGATATATTTTTTTATTCTTATTTTTATTTAAAATAATTAGTATACAATTTAAAATATATTAATTTAATTATGGCGTCTTGCAATCCATGTAGACTAGTATAAAGGCTTGTTGTTGTTGATGACTAGTACTACCTTGTTTTGAACAGTGAACCGAGAACAATTATATTATTTGATTCAATAACCGGTTTGGGTTTAATTCTCTTGTCATTTTTTTTCTTTTTGTAATTTCCTCAAGTTGTACAGCATTTGTTGCATGTTTTGATTACTCAGCTGCAAAACCAGAGGAGCTTGTCCAATTTGATGACTAGATGAAAATAAACTAAACTTTTTAATGAATTATGTTTTGTTATGGTGAGAAACACATTATAAACATAGGAAGAACATAGTATTTGGTTGAGAAAAGGTTTTTTACTCATGCTGTTTGCGTAATTGTTTGACTTTGTAATATGTCCATGAAGTTAAATTGTTGATAAATTACCTTTATTTATAGTCTTTCCATTTATAGCAGAATATTATCATGTAATCATTCTGTTAATCATTAGCCATTATACATTGTCCTAGGTTCCTACTATAAAAGAGTTCATATAGGTCAGAACTCATTGACTACACCCCCTACATTCTCTCTCGTTCTCTTCATTGTATTTCTCTAATATTTTATAAGATCAATAATTGTCTCTCCTTTTGCATTCGTCACAGATTGCTTTATGTTGTTTATTTCATTGCTCACGTATTTTATTTGTTCTTGTTAATTTTTTTTGTCCTCTACAGAAAGCTTCAAGATGATTTGACTGATGAGATGGTTGTGTTGGCGAAGCAACTCAAAGAGAATAGCCTCATGATGAGCCAATCCCTGCAAAATACTGAAAAGGTCTACATCTTGCTTCATAAAAAAATGATTAATATTTTCACGGACCACTTTAAATCAAAGTTTAGACTGTTCTATAAAGATATATTTTATTATAATATTTCACATGGCCCTTCACTTGAAAATCTTTGATTTGATTTATGAATATAGCACAATTCCATGATCCTGTACTCAGACTCTGATTAAGACATTGTAGGCTCGGATTAAGTGCCTGAACTTTTCCAGAGACTGATACCATTTCAAATATTGTTCTCATTCAGAAGTTTAAGCTATTACAGGAAAAACTGCAAATAAGATAATTTCAAACAAAAGTAAAAAAAGCAATAATCTTTTTCCATTAATTGGGTTTGGTTGGACCGTTTGAGGTTTTTGTGTTATATTCAAATCCAACTCTTGTAATAAACTATTAACCATGAGATGTCGATTGATGATCTCAAACAGCTGCATTTTTATACATGTATCGGTATTGAGAAGTATTTACAACTGAGGGGGAGTCGTGTTTTTGGTTTGAACATGAGCCTTGTTAAAGATAGATATAATGACATCATTTAATCCATATTGCCGATTTCACCTAATGGAATAAAGTTTGTTGTTGATGATGGGTGGCTTGTTTTTGCAGATACTTGATTCTACTGAGAAGGCCATCGAGCATAGTTTGGCAAGCACAGGGCGTGTAAATACGCGAGCAACGGCTATATATTCGGAGAGTTCCAAGACTTCATGCTTGACGTGGCTTGTGATGTTTGTAATGATATGTGTGTTTGTCATGGTTGTACTTCTAATTCGTGTTACATAAGATTGTACTTCACCTTTCACCTTTTTTTTTTTAATCCATTTTACTTATTTACTTCAAGAGGCAGGTTCATTTTTTCCTGTACGAGGGAATTCTTTTCCTTTTCTCCTGTCCTTGAAGATACATGAAAGTTTGATTACACGATGTAGGCAAAATATGATGTCAATTAACTTTATGCTTAGTTGTGTAGTAGATAATTCAAATTTATTTTCTCAAAATTACTAGATCTGTTTCAGGTAACTTTTTAGTGGTTTGGTTATTAAAAAAATTAGAGAGAATGACAGAGAGATTTTAAAAGGATTAATTAAGTTAGGTTTTAAGTGTTAAATTTTAGAAATTTATAATTTAATATTTTAATTTTACAATTCTGTTGTAATGATAACTTGCGTTTTAAATTTTAATGAGGAAAATAATTTTTTTTACTTTTTAATCATGTTAAGATTTAAAAAAATTATAAATTTATTACAAAATAGCTGTAAAATTAAAAATTGTGTGGTATATTTTTAAAATTTGACATTTGAGATCTAACTTAAATTAATTAATCATTTTAAAATTATTTTATCATTCTCCCAAAAAATCAACTGTTTAGTTTCTTTCCTCGTCAATGGTAACTTGATACATCCCTGGATTTTGCATTTTTTGCTGAACTAAATGCATTCAACACGAAAGTAGGATTAGCTCAAGTATTCACAGTGCAAAGTTATTTATACTCGTGGCATTATGCAAGCTCCAATATTTTTTATATTTTATTTTTGATTCGATTTGATTTGATTGGCCATTAAATTATTGTTATTATTATTAATGAACAAGAAAGTAGAGCTTGGTCTTGTCCTGTGTCACTGTGTGTGGTTCTGCCCTTAGAGTTGCATAAAATGTGCTTCACATCTTTTAAAATAAACAAATAAATAAAATTAAGAAGGCCAAACAAGAAAATTGCATAGAAGCAAAGCAAACAACATGACATAACATTTAAATGTTCCAAACTATACATTTGAGTTTTGCATTTCCTCGTTGACTTGGCAGAATCACCGATTTCCACCAACATAAAAATTTTTAAAAAATGTGGACCCAACAGGGGAAAAAAAGCAAGAAAATGTTCTGTTCATTTGGAATTTATTTCAACTAGGATAGAATCATTGATAGACATTTTCTTTGCTTTCCCCCCCTTAAGAAAAATTTCTTGGAAAAAATGTTCTGTACATTTGGAAATTACCTTGTCAGCTGATTCAGTCAAAGCTATTCCTAGAAAATATCGTTTCCCAGTTGAGGGGAAGAACAGTGACCCTTTGGACACGAGGATATCACCACCTGTTTTCTACATTATCATTTTGCCACAACGATCTCATTTAGATACTTGATTGTTATTTATGAGCTGATATTTCGTAACAGAGACATTTCATATTGGATTCAACATCAAATGGAGTTGGAGTATCACAATATGGTAAAGACGCAGGCACAACACACACACACACAGCAATTTTTGTAGTTTCATAATCCATATGTTATGTCGGACATCCAGAATAATCATACGTTGTAATAACCATAGAAAGCAGATCTGGTAGAAGCAAGAATGATGTCTGAAGTTGAAGCAAGGATGATGACGATGAACCATTATGAAAATACGCGATTTTTTAGTATGCAAGCAGACTTGTTCCTTCGGTGTCAGATTTCTTCGCCTTTATGTAAAAGTCGAACATAATTAATTAATTTTCAACATTCACAAAGAAAAGAACAATTTGATGCTTCCTGCTCTGATTAAAAAGGCCGTGTCACAGATCGCATTTTCTGTCCTAAAATCAGCCACGTGGCAATTCTCTGCAACGATAAACTCACTGAAACAGGATTTGCCATTGACCTTTAGAATTCTATTCCCGAACGGCTCCTCTTTCATCTGCTCCTGTGGATGTGCATATAAATATGCATACATACACATATGCACGCACAATATATAAATAAAAATAAAATAATAATTGGTTTTGTTAATTAACTGGCATTTCATGTCGCTTTTGAAATTTGAAGTTCCATTCTTCTCCACTTGTTCTCTCTATTTCACGGTGCTCTTGAAATTTACAGCTTCGTGATTGAGGCAAACGGATTTTTCTTCTAACGATCCACTCGCCTTGACTTGTGGAACAAAACCCATGATCTCTCTCTGGTTTTAAATTACTCCTTGTGTTCTCGTCCGCATTTCTTAATTGGAATATTATAGTATTCTTTTCAGAGCTCTGAGATCTCTAATTCTGGAGGTTTCGACAGAGCCGAAGGTAAATGATATATTTGTTGCTTGCAGTGAGCTCTGCTTTGAATTCTGGGTCGTGGTAACATGTTATTATTGGTACCTATTGTATTCTACGTCGATTTTGGCTTTGTTTGTGTTTGACATTGAGAAGTTAAAGTCACAGTTACATACTCGCATTTCTTATCTTCAGAAATCTTGGTAGGATGCTCAAATATTGATTTTTTGGTCTTCTGGTGCATTTAAGGACTATACGTTAGAGCATGATTGTTTGAGATTGTCGATGCTGTTAAACAGGTTAATTTTAGACCACTTATGAGTTTGTTAGTTGGCATTCTTTTTTAGTCAAACTATGTGGATTTGAGTGTTTGTGACTTTATGTCAATCTAAGGTTGTACAGTATGTTATAATGTGAAGAACTTGTCGCCGAGTGGGAATTGTATCTGTTATGTTATTGTATCATCATAACAATATATGTTAATGCCTGCCAAAGCATTGAAAATTTTCTTGTTGAAATAAGATGATATATGATTGTATGGATGCTTCGGTTTTCTTGTATTGAGAATTAATATTATTGTAAAAAAGATGTTGGGAAGTAAAATAGCAGTTCATACTTTTGCTTTAGGGTATCTAGTAAGATATTAACTGCTCCATGTGTTTGTTCTTGATACATGTCTTTCCTGGTCGGAAAAAAATCTTACAGGAACTTTGATATGAGCTAAGGGGATAAAATGAGAGAAAAATGCAGTAATCGTAGGTGATAATGAAAGCAATCAGCTATGATACAGTTATATCTTATGTTCATGGCAACCCTATTCTGGTAACTCCATGTCTTCGGTTGAAAGTTCTCTGCAAGGACTAAAAACTAATGGGATCCAGAGTCAAGTTTCCGGGATTCTTCTGGACAGGTAGTATATGAAAATGTTTCGGTATAATTTACTTTACTTATTTCATATTTCCTTTAGGATGTTGAAGATTTTCTTCTTCTTCTTCTTCTTCTTCTTGTATTACTACTTCTTATGTAGGTTATATTTTAAGCCTTGATTGATTATTGGTTTTTGTCAGGACCCTTTCACATGGAAAATTTATTGAATAGAGACTCATTCAGGTCAAAGTATATTGTGCACTTTTAGGAGGCTAAAAATTCTTACTAATCAAATGATTAAAAACGGTAAAGGAAAGAAATATAAGTTGTGCAGAATTTCATATATTTAAATCATATTTATATTTTTTTATATTCTCTTTATATAATATGTGTTTCTTTCTTCTTGACGCTAATCATAAGATTCTGAAAGAAATCATTATCATTTCATAGTTTCTCTTCTAAGTACTATTACAAAAGCTTTTTGTTGGGAAGGGCTGTAGGGATTCATAGATCCTGTTTCAGTGAGATGTGGCTTTGCTGTCAAATGAAGAAAGTGGACTTTTGCTTGTTCCTTTGTTTCTACTTTTATTGTGATTGTCTTATGTGAGATAAAATCATGGTTTTGAGGATATACAGGAGTTTGGAAGGGTATGCTCTTTCTTCCAGTTTATTTTAGGGTTTGATGTGCTTAACATTAAGATTATGAGAAACTGGATAGTTGCTGTTGAGAGTATTTCTTGTAGGCTTGGAATAGGTTTTGGTCTTTTTTGCCCAGTTTGAAAATGAGACTATTCTCCTTTTGGAGAAATATATTGAGACTTGCCGATATTCTTGTCCTGGTGGTTTGTCATGTCTCTAACTCTCCATATGTGTAAAGGGAGATTTCTTTTTCTGAGCGGGTGTATCACCTAAGACTTGTTTGTCCTGTCTAACCTGGTGGATGGACTACTGTCTTTGTTCTGAGAATGGACCATCTTCTTCATTGGGAGATTTGATATTGGTCAAAAAAGGAGGGGAGTTTAAGTCTTGAAAATTCGGTGCCTAGGACTATGTTTTGAGTTGGTGCTTAGGTTTGGTGTTTTCTCCTAGACTCCCAAGGATTATCTCCTTGTTGCCCCAAGTAATCCAAAATATGTTTTACATCAAATTATTGGATGCTAAGAAAGTTTTCAATCTATCCCATGTGTGTGCTGGGAAATTCATTTCCCATTTGATACTCTTTATCACTAATCGCTTTCAGCTTGGGGCATGGTCATCATCTTAGATTTTTGCTGGATATAAAGATCAAGTGTCTCTTTTCTATGGAGGCTTTTCCACTTCTCTGTAATCTTGCTTGTCTGCAAAATAATGTCTCTATCAACAAACTATATCTTCACTTTAGAGTGGAAACAACTGATTGAGAAAAAAGGTTTGAGAAGTTTTGACAAAGAGATTTATACCTGAGGACTTCAGATGGCCTCCATTAAATGGCTTGGTGTCAGTACGTCCCCCTAAATTATTTTAGGAACATTTTTCCTTGCATTAGCCATCTAGCTACCTTTAGAAGGTTATTTTTTTTTTCTCTTGTTCAGTTATGCCATTTTGCTGAAGTGTATCAACACAAACTCTGGTGCTCAGCCTTTGGATATTCCTCAAGAGTTGAGTTAAATAATCTTTGACATTGCCAGAACGGTGGATTTTTAATTGTGTGAAATTGGGTCTGTATGTCTATGAAAGTTTCTGAGTGAAACTTCACATTTTGCATTCATTATATAAATCCAAGTTAAATTGGAATGGTCATGGATAACTGTTACGAACCACCTAGTCTTAGTTATATTTTTTATTTTTGACTCAGGGGGATGTGAGGCACTATAATTTTGGGAAGGTTAGATGAGCCTTTACTTTTCTGGATGACTGACATATTTCATACTGAAGAATACTGGAGCTGTTTTTAAAAAAAGGAGAAAACATGAGTTTCATACACCCATTGCACTTAGAAAAGGTGTCAGATCGTGTACCATGCCTTGTCACTATGGAGCTTTTGTTGATAATATCTCTCATAAAAAATACCTTGGACATGTATAAAGCATTCAGTTCAGTTGGATGGACTGTTGCTGCCCTAGAAGAAGCAAATCCTACTGTTGATTATACCAACTTGATGTCAAAAATGCCTTTCTAATTGGTAATGTACAGGACGAAGTGTGCATGGAGAATCCTCTTGGTACTAAGGTTGACTATGGTGGAAGAAGTGGAAGAAGAAGTGTGCAAACTCCATAATCCTTAAACGTACTCAAGCATTTATTGAGGGCCTAGTTGGATAGAATTACAAGTGTATCCAAGGACAAGTTGGCCACACTTTGTTCACCAAAATTTTTGATGATGGGAAATAGTTGTTATTATAGTTTATGTTCATGATATTATAGTCTTGATTGATTTTGATGATGAAATTGAACAGTTGAATAGGGCATTGGCTCAAGAGTTTGAAATGCAAAGTCTTGAAGTATTGTGGTGTATTTTCTGGGCATTGAAGTAGTAACATCTAAATGTGGTGTTGCCATGTCACAGAGAAAGTATATGTTGGATCTGCTTGAACAAGGCATGCGGAGCAGGACAAGAACTTCATCACAGAAAAGTTGAACTCTAAAGTCATAAGTCTCACTTATGGTCATGCTAATAAACAAGCGATTGATCTACTAATGAAGGCATTATCTAGAGTGTAGTTCGAAGACTTGGTAGCAATGAATGGTAGATATCCACTCTCCAGCTTGAAGGAGAGTGTTTAGTTATTTTAGTACAAATAATTGCTGATATATTATTACTGTTATTAATATTATCTTTAATTTTAAAAAGTCGATCATATTTTTAAGTTATTTGGAGGAATGATAATGAGTGTCTAGTCCTCCTCTAAACCATGGATTTATTGCTGCCCTATTAAATAGAAAATTACATGATCGGAAGATGCAGCCAATCTGATTGATATTCTTCAATATTTCTGGGTTCTTTATCTAAATTCTACAATTTTACAAGTGACTAGAACTTCTATTCCCTATTTCTTCTTGATTTATTTTATATTTTGATTGAGTTGTATTTCAACTTTTGTTATATTGTGTTCCAACGTAGGCACAATTTTGATGCTCAACTAGCAAAACAAAATTTCAAAAGCAGTGATGACCTCAATCACATCGATGACCTAGAGGCTATGGTAATAATTTTTTGATTTAGTGTATTCTAACACACAAAAGAATAGCTACAAGAGCAAGACTACATTGCATTTTTGCATGTGATCTCTCTTGATCGCACGAGAAGCTACGCATGATATATCAAATTTTATGATTATGGTGCAGGAGCTTTATTCAAGAGCCAGGGCACAGGAAGCGGAGATCCTCTCCCTTCGTGAGCAGATTGCTGTTGCTTGTGTGAAAGTATGAAATTTATACCAGAAATATTATTTATACATAATTGATATTTGAAGAAATTAATTAATTCTTGACAACAGGAATTGCATCTACTGAATGAAAAATGCAAATTAGAGAGAAAATTCTCTGAACTAAGAATGGTATGTGATTTCTTGGAAAAGTTATTATCTTTGGAATTTTACTTGGATAAAGATAATTTTGAAAATTTATTTGCTTAGGCAATTGATGAAAAGCAAAATGAAGCCATTGCTTCTGCATCCCATGAGTTGGCTCGAAGAAAGGGTGATCTGGAGCAAAACTTAAAATTGGCTCATGATTTAAAGGTAATTTAATTAATAGGAGTCATCTTTGTCCAGCTGATCTATGGTTTTCCCCCCATCTATTCACTTTAAAGGTTTAGGGAATGTAAGGAGCAAAAGTTCCTTGTCACTGTTCATTTTTTTGCAGAATTATTGGTGCAAACTGCGAAGTCACCATAGAATAGGAACAGAAGTGAGAATAGTAATGCAGAGAAAAAGATTCAATTCATTCAACAAACTGAAACAGACCCACATTTCTGTTACAGCTAGGAGAAGTAACTAACACCAATCTGGTAGTTACTCTTAACTACCTGACTTGTGGACCTAACTGATTGACTTTTTAACAGAGACAGAATTAACTTTGAAGGCCATCCATGACTATCCATGTTGCCATGTAACAATTATTTTGTCATTGGTTAAAATGGAAGCAAGATTTTTTAATCCAAAGTTGTTTCTATCTCTTCTTTTTCTGAAAAAGGATTATTTTTACAGTCTCTTTATGGGTTGTAGAACTAAGTGTCAGGTCCCACATCGGAGGGACTTGGGGAGGGTCCTGGCTATATAAGTGGGTGTGCTGCACGCCCTTATGGGTTAGCCTTTTGGGGAGAAAGTAATGGTCCCGTGACAAAGTGGTATCAGAGCCAAATCCGAGTTTGCCCAGTCGGTGGGTCCCTCTGGTGGGCCACCCGTGACGGGGGAGTTGTCAGGTCCCACATTGGAAGGACTTGGGGAGGGTCTTGGCTATATAAGCGGATGTGCTGCACGCCCTAATGGGTTAACCTTTTGGGAGAGAGTAATGGTCCCGTGACATAACGATGTTCTAGGGGTTGTCCCTTGTGGATCTTAAAGGTATTGTTTTTTTGAGCTAGAGTTTAAGGCTTGCCTGATATCATCGAGGAGTGGAAATCCCTCTCTCCTGCACGATGGAAGTGAATAGAGACCAACCCTCCACCCCAACCCAAAAAAAAAAAAAAAAAAGTTTATTTCTTACCATCTCAAAAAGCACTCTAGTTATATTCACAACCAAAAGAGCCACACCTAAAGGTTAAGAATGTGAATTGCAACTAGTATCCATTTCAATAACTATTTGTCAGCATTTTTGTTTTAATGCTTATATAGTGCCATGGCCATGACTTTTGCGGAGTAGAAGTCAGCTAGTTGATATTTAATTTTCTTTTTCTCGTCTTGATCTTTAATCATTATTGTTAAAAAATTTTCAAATCCTTGTCAAGCAGTTAAGACTATTTTGTTTTTCTTATATGAGTCTTCAATAAAAGAGGGGTAGAGGAAGGCCTAAAAGAATGCTCTTAGAAGTTATTGAACCCGATCTTTTAATTAATAATATTCTTAAAAGCTTGATAAATGATAGAGCACAATGGCTTCTTGCAATCCATGTAGCCAACCCCACCTAGTGGGTAAAGGCTTGTTGTTATTGTTAGATCGGCCATTATCTACCTTTTTTATTTGAATTTATTTAACCAATGGCAAAAGCAGTAGAGTTTGCAAGTTAAAGAAATCCCTTCATGGGATGAAGCAATCGCCTAGAGCATGGTTTGATATATTCTCAAAGATGCTAAAAACGGAGTGCTATCACTGGGGATAATCTGATCATACACTCTTTGTTAGACACATGGAAGGAAAAAGGGCCATATTAATTTTCTTTGTAGATTGTAGATGACATCATCCTAAATGGAGATGACGTTGAGGAGATAAAGAGACTAGAAAAGGTCCTAGCCTCTGAATTTGAAGTAAAAGATCTTGGCCAAATGTACTATTTTCTACGCATGGAAGTAGCTAGGCCAAGAGGGAGATATGTATCCCACAAAGAAAATATGTCCTTTATCTCATGAGAGAAACTGGAATGCAAACCAATTGATACTCTTATTGGAGTGAACAAGAAGAAGAAAGGAGAAGAGAAAGATGAACATGAGGAGGAGGAGGAGGGAGGCCAATTGGTTGACAAGGAAAGGTAAAAAAGTTTGGTAGGAAAATTGATATACTTGTCACGTATAAAACTAGATGTCTTTGTTGTGAGTTTCGTAAGTCAGCATATGCATTTACCAAGGGAAATCCAACTATAAGTTGTGTATAGAATTTTGAGGTATTTAAAATGTACCCTATTAAAGGGATCATTCTTCAAAAAGGGTGAACAACCTAATGTTGAAATATTTACTGATGCTGATTGGGTAGGCACTTCAGAAAATAGAAGATCTACATGTGGGGATTGTACCTTCGTTTGGGGCAATTTAGTAACCTAGAAGAGTAAGAAACAGAATGTGGTATCTAGGAGTGCAGCAGAAGTTGAGTTTAGAACTATTGCTCATGGAATTTGTGAAGGCCAGTGGTTATAAATACTTCTCAAAGAACTGCAACATTGACATGGAATTGCTTATTAGACTTTATTTTGATAGCAAGGTAGATAAGCATATCTCATAATTCAGTTTAGCATGATAGAATAAAACATATTGAAGTGAACAGACATTTTATCGAGGAAAAGATTGAAAGTGGAGTAGTGTGCCTTATATATGTTGCATCAAAAAAGAAAATTGCCAATGCCCTCACCAAGGGATTTTCGAGAGAGAATTTTGATGAATGCATTAGCAAGTTGGATATGATTAATATTCATGATCCAACTTGAGGGGTAGTTTGGGAATATCTTTAAATTTTATTATTGCTGACTGTATTCTGATTGTACGGCTGTTATTGGCCTTTACTAGCATTGATTAGTGTTTACTAGCTTTGATTAGCCGTGATGTATCTATTTGGATGTAACTCTATTTAGATTGATTAAAAAAAATATCTTTTCCCCCCAAGAGTCCACAAGCTTTCAATTTTGTAGGATTTTTTTGAAAATCCTCATGTTGATGGGCCTGTTAATGCTCCCCTAAATATCACTAGCCTTGTAGAATAGATAGGTATCTCCAATCTTCATAAACATAGAATTAGCAAACCAAGACATAAAAATATTGTTTTCCGGCATTCCATACCTTGTACTTTGGATTATCTTTTGCAGGTTGAGCAGTCTCACCAGTCAAGTACTCTTCTTTACCCCTCCACTTGCAAACTGTGGAGATATTGTATTTATTGTAAATATTATTATTTAATTATTAGGAGTTAATAGGATTTATTAGAATTATTAGCATTTATTAGCCATTTATTTGCTTGTCTCCTAGCTTTGTGTATATATAGTCTTCTATGTCCTACTATTATGATCAATGAAAAATCATATTTCTTCTCTCAAAAATCGCATATGGTATCAGAGCTTATTAGATCAGAACCCTAGCTGGTTTTTGTTCTGCTGTATAGCACAGTTTCAAACTAGCTGATGGACAAAACCCTAATGGAGGACGAGAGGTGCCGTTAGATCTCACCACCGACCAAGGAAGGACTAGAGACCTCCGATCGGCACAACCCGGAAGTTTGGCATCCGTCGACGGCGCGGGGCTGTCACATGTGCCACTCGTCCAGTCTGCGTCAGAGGGAGAGTCCGAGCATGTGGCGAGCTGTTTTCGGCAACGACGACTTGTTCCAGCAATGATGGACCATTTCCGACCTAGTCTCAGCATTTTCCTGTTGTGAGTCTTCCAAGCCTTCGCCTTGTTCGTTGAATGTGCATACTGTCCAAACAAATTGGACCTAAAGAACACAAATACCCAGAAATTTCTGAGGAAAATGGGACTTTTAATCCTAGAAGTGGTATGTCTTGGTCTTCTTGATCTGATTTGTACCCGTTTGCTCATAAGCTTTCAACAATGGATGACGAAACTTGCAAAACTGTCATCAAAAGTTGTTGAATCTGATGCACTATATGTTAGTTAGATTCCATAGTCAGTTTTTGTCTTCTTGGCACAAAGAGGTAATTTTCTTCAAGCCTTAAAAATGTCGAGGACTGAAATAGTGTGGATCGTAGACTCTGGCGCATCAGATCACATGACCAATAACCACCAATTATTTTCCACATACTCCATGTGTTGGAAATTTGAAAGTCAAAGTTGCAGAGGGGTCTCTTGCTCCTATTGCGGGGAAAGGGAGTATTCGTATCTCTGAATCTATCACTCTAGAATCTGTTCTTCATGTACCAAAATTAGCATGCAATTTGTTGTCTGTTAGCCAACTAACAAAGCAATCTAAATGTTGTGCTAATATTCTTCCAACCCATTGTGTCTTTTAGGATCTATCATTGGGTATGACAATTGGACGTGCTAAAGAGTGTGAGGGACTCTACTTCCTTGAGAATGCTAGAGTGAGTCACCATCAAGCCACTAATGTATGTAACTCTATATTGACATCTAAAGATACAAATATTCTGTCATGGCACAAGAGGATGGGGCATCCTAATTTTCATTATTTATCTCATTTGTTCCCAAACCTTTGCCCTACCAACCATGATGTCAAATGTGAAGTGTGTGAACTGGTAAAGCACCAACGAACATCATTTCCTAGAACACCGTATACACCCACCAAACCATTTGTTCCCATACATAGTGATCTATGGGGTCCATCTCGTATCCCAAACCGCACCAAATCAAAATGATTTATTACCTTCATCGATGATCATACTCGTGTCTGCTGGGTGTATCTCCTAAAAGACAAGTTTGAGACTGCATTTGTATTTATCAATTTCTTTACCATGATAAAAACCCAATTCAACACAAATATCCAAGTTCTACATACCGACAATGGTATTGAATGTTTTAACCAAGGCTTAAGTACTTTTTTTCACAAGTATGGCATTGTCCATCGAAGCACTTGTGCCCATACACCTCAACAAAACGGGATTGCAGAAAGGAAAAATAGACATATTCTTGAAGTGGCTAGGGCCCTCATGTTCACCCATAATGTCCCAAAGTTTTATTGGGGGGATGCCATCTTAACTGCAACCTATCTCATCAATCGAATGCCTAGTCGTATTTTGTCTTTTGATACTCCTCTTCAAAAATTGCAAAGTGTTTTCTCCATATCTCATATTGAAACCAACATCCCTCTTCGTGTCTTTGGGTGTACAGCCTTTGTTCACATCCATCAATCTAGTAAACTTGGACCTCGTGCTACAAAATGCATATTCGTTGGTTATTCCCCTACTCAAAAGGGATACAAATGTTTCGATCCTATTTCCAAACACATGTTTGTAAACCTTGATGTTACTTTTCATGAAGATATGCCCTTTTACCCCAATTCTTCAATTCAGGGGGAGAGTATAGGTGAATCTCAGACTTGGAAACAAGAGATTAACAAAGAACAAGTGCTTCCTTATTCTTGGTCCATACCAGCAGAGTCATTACCACCTCAATTACCAGAACCATCACTCTCATCCGAACCCTTACCACCATCACCATCTCTTGTGCCAGTCACAGAAGATAATTCAACATCATGGGGAGATACAGAGAGGCAAAAAGACAAAGACTTGTTGGTTTATTCTCGAAAGCATAAATCCAAGGAAGGAGAGCAATTTGTATTTGAAGCACCAAGGAGTCAAAACCAGTGGTAGCTCCGGAATCACCTGAGCAAAGTCCTGAATAGGTGAGTGTTCAATCTGATCTTGATTTACCCACTGCTCTCAGAAAACAACCTTGCTCTTGTACTTTGCACCCAATACAAAAGTACATATCCTACAAGGCTCTTTCTCCAAGTTATCGTGCTTTTGTCACTAGTCTAGATAAAGTTGTTGTTCCCAATAATATTGAAGAGGCATTGGAAATACCAGAATGGAGAAATGTAGTCATGGAGGAAATGAGAGCCCTAAAGAAGAATGGAGCGTGGGAGATTGTTCAAAGGCTAAGTGGCAAGAAGCTTGTAAGCTGCAAGTGGATTTTTACCCCAAAGTACAAGGCCGATGGAATTCTTGACAAGTTAAAAGCACGCTTGGTAGTAAGAGGGTTTACTCAGACATATGGTATCGACTACAAAGAGACTTTTGCACCAGTGGCAAAATTAAACACCATTAGACTTCTCTTATCCGTAGCAGCTAATCTAGAATGGCCACTCCATCAGCTTGACATCAAGAATGCTTTCCTAAATGGAGAACTAAAAGAAGAAGTTTACATGACTCTACTACTAGGATTTGATAGGGGCAGAGGTGATCAAGTATTTAGATTGAAGAAATCTCTATATGGCCTAAAGCAGTCTCCTAGGGCATGGTTTGACAGATTCTCAAAAGTCCTCAAGCGAGAAGGCTATAAGCAGGGATTATCAGACCATACAATGTTTGTTAAAGTTGAGGGAGGTAAAAGGTGTATCCTTATTGTATATGTTGATGACATTATTCTTCCAGGAGATTATCTTGAGGAAATCACAAGAGTAAAGGTTGTTTGGGCAAAGATTTTGAGGTAAAAGACTTTGGTGCCTTGAAATACTTCCTTGGGATGGAAGTTGCGTGGTCAAGGAAAGGTATTTATGTATCTCAGAGGAAGTATATACTTGATCTTCTAAAGGAAACAGTATGTTAGGTGTAGGCTAGCTGAAACCCCTATTGTGGTTTCAAAGAAAAAGAAGCCTAAGAAGAATAAGGAAGAGTCAAAAGAAGAAGAAGATTCTTATGATGAGGTTGAAGAAGACAATGAGAATGAAGAGGCCACTAATAAAGAGAGATATCAAAGGCTTGTCGGGAAGTTGATTTACCTCTCCCATACAAGACCTGATATTGCCTTTGCAGTAAGTATGGCTAGTCAATACATGTCTGAACCAAAGAAGAAGCATATGGAAGCAGTCTATAAGATCTTGAGATATTTAAAGGGTACTGCTGGTAGAGGGTTATTCTTCCAGAAACAAGAACAGAGAACCATAGAGGTCTACACAGATGTAGATTGGGAAGGAACTCATCTTGATAGAAGATCAACTTCTAGTTATTGTTCCTTTGTTTGGGGAAACTTGGTTACCTAGAAGAGTCAAAAGCAAAGGGTTGTCTCTAAGAGTAGTGCTGAGTCCGAGTTAAGAGCTTTGGCTCAAGGAATAATGGAAGAGTTATGGCTGAAACTAATCCTAAAAGAGATACATGTCGAAGTGGACTCACCATTAAAACTTTATTATGACAATAAGGCAGCTATAAGCATGGCCTTAAATCCTGTTTAACATGAGAAATCAAAACATGTGGAGGTGGATAGGCATTTCATTAGAGAAAAAGTGGAAGAAGGAATCATATGTTTGATTTATTTACCTACAAACCTTCAAGCTGCAGATGTTTTGACGAAGGATTACATAAGCCCGCATTTGAAAGTTGCATAAGCAAGTTGGACATGATTAACATCTATGATCCAACTAGAGGGGGAGTGGGGAGATATTGTATTTATTGAAAATATTATTATCTAATTATTAGGAGTTAATAGGATTTATTAGAATTATTAGCATTTATTAGCCATTTATTTGCTTATCTCCTAGCTTTGTGTATATATAGTCTTCTATATCCTATTATTATGATCAATGGAAAATCATATTTCTCCTCTTAAAAATCCCACACAAACATTAGCACAGGTTGACTGCATTGAAGGTAGGTTAGTCCATTCAGCTTATGGGTGATGTTGGAAGTAGGTTGAGAGTCTTTAAATCTAGGAGGCTAGGGCATATCTAAAAAGGATACCTTCTTTCCTTGTTGGGGTCTGAAGACTGCATTTCAGCGTTCTAACATGTCAGAGAGCCAGCTCATGAAGGTAAATAGGAAAGGGAGAGAGGTCGAGAAAATAGGAGAAATAATTCCTGTGTAATTTTTTAAGAAGTCAAATAAATATATGTAGGAATAAAGACTATAGGTCAGCCTCTTATTCCATTTTTACCCCATCCCATGATACAATCTATAAGCTCAGACTTAGGTCAAAGGGGCCGTTGAGATGAAGGAAAAAGGAAAGTAAATAAAATATAAATAAATAAATGAGATAATAATATGACTTAAATTAAAAAAAAATCCATAGTTATGACTTAATTAATTTGGAAGTAAAATTGGGAAATCAATTTATACCTCAAGTGAAAAAGTTTATATATTTAGGAGTTATTATTCAACATGATGGTGAAATTGATGGGGATCTTGCACATGGGATACAAGTCGGGTGGTTTAATTGAAGAAAGGTTAAGGGAGTTATTTGCGATTGTAAGGTACTTAATAAACTTAAAGGGAAGTTTTATTGAACTACTATAAGACCAGCTATGTTGGAGTAGTAGAGATGAGAATGTTGAGATGGATGTACAAGCATATATGTAAAGATAGAATCCGAAATGAGCACATGCGAGGAAAAGTAGGCATAGCATCTATTGAGGGAAAAATGGTAGAAAATCATTTTAGATGACTTGGACATGTATAAAAAAGATTGTGAGAGGTACCGGTAAGGAGAGTGGAATAGATAATTTTGAGTTAAGTTAAGAGGGGTAAAGGAAGGTTAAAGAGAACACTTATGGAAGTTGTTGACCAAGATTTCTTAGTTAACAACATTCTTAAAAGCTTGATAAATGATAGAGCACAATGTCGTCATATAATCTATGTAGCTGACTCACCAAGTAGGATAAGGCTTGTTGTTGTTGTATGCCTTATGTGCCAGGAAATCATGTCATTTAGACAAACATGATTTCAGAGGGTTAATGAGAATTAGGGTTTGTCAATAACAGCAGCAATGGTGTGCAGCAAAAGGGAGGCTATGAAGCTTCTTGCAGAATTCCGTCATACTGTTTTGGCAGTTATTTAGTTATATTCTAACTAAGTAAATAATTTGTAACCTGACTTGACGAGCTGATATGTCAGTTGATGAGAATTCCTACACACTGTACCTCCTTCTTCCTTGACCTATCTCCTACCCTCTTCTAACTATCATTATGGATACCAATCATGTAAATAACTTGGGCGTTGTGATACTGAGTTCACTGATTTTAGCTAGTGAAAAGATTGAACATAAAAGTCATGGTTTCTTGTTTTATGTTGAAACCTCTATATCATAAGGATGGCCTTATTTTTATGGTACATGCTTTTGTACTCTTGCTGCTGTTATTTATGATAAGCTATTTTCTAGGCTGCAGATGATGAGAGATATGTCTTCATGAAATCGATGCTGGGGTTACTTGCTGAATATAGTTTATGGCCTCGTGTTATGAATGCTTCTGCCATATCCAACAGCATAAAGGTATGGATAATGTAATACTGGAAAAATGATTGGTGAAACATGCGATGTACTGATTTGCATAGATCTTGAATTGAACCTCTTTATCAATTCTTCTTCTTCTTCTTCTTTTTTAAAAAAAACCAATAGTTAAGGGAGATTTGTGAAAGAGGCACATAGCTGTTGCGGCACTTTCATCCCCAAAAGCTTTGATATGTTACTGAAATGTCTACTTAGTAGATGTGAATGATAGTATGTTGATATCATGAATTGATGTCGCCTAGAAAGATTTTGCTGATGTGAACTTGTAAGGCTTATGGTACTTTAATGAATAGAGGCAATAGCCTTGGAGTAATCCTACTTTCCAGAGCTCTTGTGAGCTACAGGCTGTAATTTCATTCACAGGGGTGCCCGTTCCTCGTTATTAGTATGAACACACTGAGTGGTTTACTCATTCACAATTGACTACTTTCCTCTGCTCTTGCTAAGCCTTTCCTCATTAATATAAACACACTGGGTGAATTATTTATTCATTCACAATACCCTTGTATTGAACCCTATCTCTCCAATTAAATCAGTACCTCATTAAGTAGCTTTCCTTGTACTTCAGGCTCCTTATGGGTTTTCCTGCTGAATAGAGTGCTTTAATTAGTGTAGTTGTTATTGGTATTGTTCAATCCTTGTATTTGTTTATTAATTTTTTTTTGATGAAAATATATTATTCAGACTCTGCGTTATTAAGGCCCATTATTATCACGGTTGTTTCATGTTTGTGCTATTTATGAGGGAAAATGGCTTTAAATGCTTGGTTTCATTTAACCAGAGAGAGTGTGCAGGCAGAGGGATGCAGGGAACATATTTCCCAATCAATCACTGCAAGTTCACAAAATGCAAATATACTTTAATTTTTTAATGAAACGAATCAAAGACCTTGATGATAGAAAGATATAAATAGGAGGCAGAATCAGAACAAATTACCTTGGATTAAAGAGATTAAAGGAAAAGATAAGACCCATGAGAAGCACCTGTGATCTGCAACACTCCCTTGCTTTTCGCATCCTAGGGTGGAAACTTAAGGTCATTGGCGTTTGGTGGAAATAACATACTTGTGTGCCGTATGACATACATCAGAATAAAGGAAGATTTCAGAGGATAATAATTGCAATTGAGTCTGTGCCTCGTGATAAGAACTAGTATAGACTAAAAGCCTCTGTTGATGAAGGTCTTAATGATGACCCAAGTAATAGAGGAAATGAATTGGCGGCCGAATCAGGAGAAAATAACCATGAATTGAAGAGAATAAAATAAACAGGTACAAAAGACCTATGTGCAACCAACGCAAACTCTAACAGTGTTGTTGTTTGCATGTGAGTATATGTATTTTAGGTATGATCTCTGTTCATTTTCTTTTGTATACTTTCTGAAGGTTGTGAATAGTTTTATAATTTCTTTTATCTGTAATTTAATTAGTTATTATGCATTTGTGCAGCATTTACATGATCAATTACAATGGAGGATCCGAAGTTCACATGTAAGACTGTGAATCTTTATTATCATGTATAATTTGTCTTATCTTTCTTCCTCCCACCCCCCTTTATTTTGTGGCTTAATTCTTACTTTGTTGTTGGAATAGCTGCACTTTCTTTTAGCTATTAAGAGGAGGAAGCCCTATTCCCGTTCAAAGATATAAACAGAATTGGAGACTTCTACCAGTGTAAAAGATATAGTAGTAAAACAACAGTATTTGCCAATAAGAACGATTTCAGAAAAATCCCAAGATTTTAACCTTTATTAATACTCCAATTATTCTTGAACTCATGATAAGTTAAATTACTATGGACTGTTCTCTCTTCTCATCAACGTTTTGTTCTATATAAAAAAGATATCATCATTTGAGCAGTCAACATTTGTTAAATATTTCTTACCACTAATTTAGATGGTGTTCATTGTTGAATGTTGAAATATGACTCTGTTGCCCGTAAAATCTATATTTGATGGGTCACTTGCAAAGGCTATTGTGGTTAGACCTAGTATTTATTATATTCAATGTAAATATCTGTTATTATTATGTGGGATATCGGGTAGTTAAGAGTAGGAGGCTTTTACGAGATTTATTTCCTATTTCTCCTCCTTTGAATCAATCTCCATTATTCTTGAAGATATGATTGCTTTCTCTCCTGTATATATTCTCATACATACCTAAGATGAACATACAAGAGTTTCTCGGCTCATTCACTACATGGTATCAGAGCACCGCGACTTCCCAGTGCTGTCCGACGCCGAGAACTCTAAAACAGAGAGTACCGAGCACGAGTCGAACCTAGTTCACAGTTCTCCCATGTCGAACAGTGATGGGTCCTTGAAGACTGATCCGAGCAGGGTAGGTGGTCCCTTCGGGTCGACTACCAATCACGAAGGATCATTGGTACACGTTACATCAGTGAAACTAAACGGTACAAACTACCATATGTGGGCACGAGCTATGAAACTCGCGATCAGAGGTCGAGGAAAAATGGGCTATCTTGATAGCTCATTGAAGATCCCAGAAGACCCAAGACGCAGAGTTCCAGCAATGGCACACCGAAAATTCACTGCTATCATCATGGTTAATAAATGCCATGATTCCAGAAATTCAACAAAGCTTTATGTTTCTCCCCTCAGCCCATGAAATTTGGAAGGCTATACGAGATTCATACTTTGATGGGAAGGACTTAGCTTGAATATATGAGCTCAAAACGAAGGCATGGACACTGCAACAAGGAGATCGTGATGTCATTGCCTTCTGGTTAGAACTGAATGCTGTATGGCAGGAACTAGACTTAATGACAGATGTGGAATGGTCTAGCAGTAGTGATGCAATTCGATATAAGGAGAAAGTCGAAAATGAGCATGTATTTCAGTTTCTTGCTGGATTAAATCAGTCCTTGGATGATGTACGAGGACGAGTCTTGAGTCATGCACCACTCCCATCAACCAACGAAGTTTTTTCTGAGGTACATCGTGAAGCCTCAAGAGGCAAGGTCATGCTTCTTGGCACTACTCCTACTCCAGTACCTACTCTAGATTCTGCTGCTCTTGTAAGCAAGAGCAGTGACGTAAATTAGAAGAATCAAAAAGGGAAGGTTACTTGTGAACATTGCAAGAAGATTGGGCATACCAGTGACAATTGCTGGGATATCCATGGAAAACCAACTGATTGGAAGCCAAGAAAAGGAAAAACACGAGGATACCAAGCTTCTCATGATGTGCCACCAGATAAAATAGATTCAACCTCATCAGCACCTGAGATTGATAAGGAACAGCTCAGTAAGTTGCTCGAGATGCTCAGTATGCTTCAGAAGAATGAGAAAAATCAGAAACCAAATCATACTGCGTCTGTGGCTCATAAAGGTAACTGTGCCTTACTTACCTCTACTAGTAACTTCAAATGGATTGTGGATAGAGGGGCAACTGATCATATGACTTCAGATTCTAAGCTATTTAGTACCTATGTCCCTAGTACTGGAAATGAAACAGTGAGTACAGCAAATGGGTCATCTTCATCGATAGCAGGAACAGGCAGTGTTGTTATCTCTGAAGCTATGAAATTAGAACATGTTTTACATGTACCATATTTGGCTTGTAATTTGTTGTCCATTAGTAAATTAACTAAACAGGCTAATTGTTGGGCTCATTTTTGTTCCACTCATTGTATTTTTCAGGACCTCTCATCAGGGAAGATGATTGGGAGTGCTAAGGTGCATAATGGTCTTTATTACCTTGATGAATCAACCATGAGTAGTCTTTGGTCTCGAATTCAATGCAATGTCACATCTACTTATGAAAATAAAGACTTGAAAGATCTTATGTTATGGCATAGGAGACTAGGTCACCCAAATTTTCAATATTTATGCCATTTGTTTCCAGAATTTCAAGTCAATAAAAATGCTGCATTTCATTGTACTGATTGTGAGCTCACTAAACATCACAGATCCGTTTTCAAACCTATTGATTACAAATCTACTCATCCTTTTTCTGTCATTCATAGTGATTTGTGGGGTTCTACTCGTGTCACTAATTGAACTAATACAAAGTGGTTCATCAAATTTATTGATGATCATACTAGGATGTTTTAGGTATACTTATTGCAAGATAAATCCTCTGTTCCCTCTGTGTTCTCTGAGTTTTATACAATGATAAAAAACCAGTTTGATACCACAATTCAAGTGCTTCATACTGATAATGGAACTAAATACTTCAATAACACCATGCATATGTTTCTAACAGAACATGGAATTATTCATAAAAGCACTTGTCCTAATACTCCTCAACAAAATGGCATTGCGAAAAGGAAAAACAAACACGTGTTAGAAGTTGCACGTGCTTTACTCTTCACCTACAATGTTCTTAAATCCTTTTGGGGTGATGCAATTCTCACAGCTACATACTTAATCAACCGCATGCCAAGTCGTGTTCTCTCTTATATTTCACCACTTGAAAAATTACAAGAATGTTACTCTGTCACTCACCTTACCACTAATCTTCCCCTCAAAATCTTTGGCTGCACCAACTATGTTCACTCTCATCATTCCCACAAATTGGAACCCAAAGCTGTCAAATGTCTCTTTCTTCGTTACTCTTCCACACAAAAAGGGTATAAATGTTTTGACCCTACTATCAAATGACTTCACATCAGCCGGGATGTTACCTTTGCTGAAAATGAACCTTTTTATCCAAGTGCTTCAATTCATGGGGAGAGGGGGAGTGATTTTCAGCCTTTGGAAAGTGAGAGAAGTGAGAAATACTCAATCCACGATCCTTTGTTCCCGAGCTTAGATCCTTTGTTACCTATACCAGAAAATTCTCGGGTTCCTGGGCTAGAAACTGAAGTGAAAAGTCTTTCAAAATATAATAAAGATGCTGGCATTACATCGGACGAGACACCAATAACCTACTTAAGGAAGAAATGGAAAAAAGGGAGACTATTATGACTGACGCACAACTAGAATCTGAAGTGAAAGAGGTTCCTGAAGCGGAGAACGTAGAACGTGCTGTTTTTCCTCAAGAACCCGAGGTAGAAGTGGTGACTGAAATGGAGGAAGTGAATGAGTTAGACCTACCTATAGCTCTTAGAAAGCAACCGAGGGCCTGCACACAGCATCCTATTCAGAGGTTTGTGAGTTACCATACATTATACTCAAGGAAGAAATGGAAAAAAGGGAGACTATTATGACTGACGCACAACTAGAATCTGAAGTGAAAGAGGTTCCTGAAGCGGAGAACGTAGAACGTGCTGTTTTTCCTCAAGAACCCGAGGTAGAAGTGGTGACTGAAATGGAGGAAGTGAATGAGTTAGACCTACCTATAGCTCTTAGAAAGCAACCGAGGGCCTGCACACAGCATCCTATTCAGAGGTTTGTGAGTTACCATACATTATACTCAAGGAAGAAATGGAAAAAAGGGAGACTATTATGACTGACGCACAACTAGAATCTGAAGTGAAAGAGGTTCCTGAAGCGGAGAACGTAGAACGTGCTGTTTTTCCTCAAGAACCCGAGGTAGAAGTGGTGACTGAAATGGAGGAAGTGAATGAGTTAGACCTACCTATAGCTCTTAGAAAGCAACCGAGGGCCTGCACACAGCATCCTATTCAGAGGTTTGTGAGTTACCATACATTATACTCAAGGAAGAAATGGAAAAAAGGGAGACTATTATGACTGACGCACAACTAGAATCTGAAGTGAAAGAGGTTCCTGAAGCGGAGAACGTAGAACGTGCTGTTTTTCCTCAAGAACCCGAGGTAGAAGTGGTGACTGAAATGGAGGAAGTGGATGAGTTAGACCTACCTATAGCTCTTAGAAAGCAACCGAGGGCCTGCACACAGCATCCTATTCAGTGGTTTGTGAGTTATCATACATTATCCTCACAATTTCGTGCATTTATAACTGATCTTGACAAGGTAAAGATTCCTAATGATGTGCATGAAGCACTAAGTATACCTGAATGGAAGAAGGCTGTAATGGAGGAAGTAAATGCCTTAGAAAAGAATGACATGTGGGAGATAGTAGATCTTCCAAAAGGAAAGAAAATTGTGAGCTATAAGTGGGTATTTACCCCTAAATATGATGCTGATGGGAAATTAGACAGATTAAAAGTAAGGTTGGTGGCAAGGGGTTTTACTCAAACATATGGCTTGGATTACAAAGAAATATTTGCACTTGTGGCCAAGCTTAACACTATCAGAATTTTGATTTCTATAGCTGCAAACTTGGACTGGCCCCTACATCAACTAGACATAAAGAATGCCTTCTTAAATGGTGACCTAAAAGAAGAAGTTTTCATGACTTTACCCCCATGTTTTGAGACAAGGAGAACCAATCAAGTGTGTAAGCTGAAAAAATCTTTGTATGGGTTAAAGCAATCACCTCGAGCTTGGTTTGACAGATTCTCAACAGTTTTGAGAGCTGAAGGGTATAAGTAGGGGTTGGCTGATCGCACTATGTTTATGAAGAGGGAAAATGGAAGAAGATGTATCCTCATTGTATATGTTGATGATATAATTGTCACAGATGATCATAAGGAGGAAGTGGATAGAATAAAGAGGGCTCTAGGAAGGAGTTTGAAGTGAAAGACTTGGGCAACTTGAAGTATTTTCTAGGTATGGAGATTGCGAGGTCACAACAAGGGATTTATGTGTCCCAAAGAAAATATATTATTGATTTACTTGCCAAAATTGGCATGTTGGGATGTAGACCTATAGACACACCCATTGTTGTTAAGAAAAAAGGGAAGAAATCGAAGGAAAATCAGGAAGATGAGGCAAATGGAGTTGAATCTAAGGAAGACGGTTTTAGGGAGGAAGAAGAAGAAGAAGAAGAAAAGAATGAGCCAATAGACAAAGAAAGATACCAAAGATTAGTTGGTAAACTAATTTATCTATCTCACACTAGACCAGACATAGCTTTCGCAGTAAGCGTTGCAAGCCAGTATATGTGCAACCCCAGAGAGAGGCATATGGAAGCCGCATACAGAATCTTGAGGTACTTAAAGGGCACACCTGGTAAAGCATTGCTGTTTAAGAAACAAAACCTAAGATCTATAGAAATATATACAGATGCAGATTGGGGAGGAACATACAAGGATAAGAGGTCAACATCAGGTTACTGTTCCTTCGTATGGGGAAATTTAGTCTCTTGGAAGACTCAGAAGCAAAGAGTGGTCTCAAGAAGTAGTGCAGAATCAGAACTAAGGGCTCTAGCTCAAGGCATCTTAGAGGTACTATGGGTAAAAAGAGTCATGGATGAGATACATGTCAAAATTGATTCCTCATTGAAGCTTTATTGTGATAATAAAGCTGCAATAAGTATGGCTCTGAATCCAGTTTACCATGAAAGATCTAAACATGTAGAGATTGACAAACATTTTATAAGGGAAACAGGAGTCATTTGTCTCATTTATCTGCCAACAAGACTCCAAGCTGCTGATGTGCTCACCAAAGGATTACAAAGAATAGCATTTGATAGCTGTATAAGCAAGTTGGACATGATTAGTATCTATGATCCAACTTGAAGGGGAGTGTGGTTAGACCTAGTATTTATTATATTCAATGTAAATATCTATTATTATTATGTGGGATACTGGGTAGTTAAGAGTAGGAGGCTTTTACTAGACTTATTTCCTATTTCTCCTCCTCTGAATCAATCTCCATTATTCTTGGAGATATGATTGCTTTCTCTCCTATATATATTCTCATACATACCTAAGATGAATATACAAGAGTTTCTTGGCTCATTCAACACAGCCATGGATGTTTAATTATTGCTAAAAGGTCATTTTCTTTTCTTTCTTTCTTCTTTTTTTCCAGGACAGAATTAGAGATATAAGTTCTGTGCTCCAAAGTTATGGTGAAAATGGTATTCATGTTGAAAGTCCAGGATCTGGAAATTGGATAAATGACATGCATAATCCATCCACGGTAATAATACTACTGTCATATAGTCTTATTGCTTGTGATGTTGTTACTTTTTCTGTGTTTCTTAAACTATTGATTTTATGACACTTTCTGATTTTAATGATATCTAGGTTTTCATTGCAGATTCAACATAATTTTCCCCTGCAAAATATTATTAGGAATGAACAACATGCACAGCTGATGAGCAACATGGCAGGGTATATCCACTATGATGTTTTATGGATGGTAGAAGCCTAGTTCCTAATGTTGATGTAAACTTGGCAATCAATAGGGTCAATAATCTTTTCTTATGTTACGCTGGTTGGCTCATTTTTTTTGGCATTTTGGTTTTGCAATGTGATGTTCCCTATTTATAATTTAAAAAGAACATGTGTTGGAAGATATCTTTAACTACAGCCTAAACTCATGCGTGGTCCACTATGAATTTGAATGCTGAGTTTTTGTTTTAGAAAGAAAAAGACAGCGATTAGTTTTCTACCAATCATCCAATGTAGTGAGATAGGACATGTGACTCTATTCTATAAGCTGTTGTCACATCAATCCTTTCCATATACATATAAGAATTACTTTAGGGTTTGGTGAAAAAATTATGGTCTTAAGGTAAAATTTTCTTAATCCTAGAAAAATGTAAATGATGTAATTTTTTTTAGTTATTTCTAGTTTAGCTATTTCATTATTTCCTAATGTCCCTTGCTGTAATTCAACGCTAGAATAGACCTTTTTTATGTTTATAAGTAAATTTCCCCATTCTAAACTTTGAAGTGAGAATTTAAAACCTTTTGTCATGGTGTCAAGGGTTGGTTGGAGAGAAAAAGTAACCTTGAAGCTTTTTAGGGCTGATGCTTTACCCATATGTTTAGCAAAGGTGTGGTCTCCTCTCTCTTCTTTTTTGGTCAGCTTTTTTCGGTGGTGACTTCATTCCAATAGACTTTTATTCTGCTCAGTATGACCGTGAGTTATTTATGATGGGAATGTTGCATACATGATATAAGCTAGGTAGCTTAATTGGAGAAAGGCCAAAGAAGTTATTTGTGATCGAAAGGTGCCTGACAAACTTGAAGGGAAGTGTGGGTAGAATTGTAATTATTGTAAATATTTAGTGTCCTTTATCAGGGGAATATCGGTTAGAATAGTCAAAGATATTGAGTTTATTGTTTTTTATTCTCTTTCGATATCCTCGGCTCAGTTTATGGGATCAGATTGATTCCTAAGCTTGTATATAATTCCCGACCTGGTGAATGAATAAGATATAGCTGTCTGAACCACAGGAAGTTTTATCAAATTGCTATAACACTAGCTATGTTATACGGTAGTAAATGTTGGCTTTAAAGGGACAATAGGAGCATATAGTTGAAGTAGTAGAGATAAGAATGTTGGAATGGATATGCGGACATACACATAAAGATAAAATTTGAAATGAGCATATATGAGAAAAAATAGGCGTAGCATCTATTGAGGGGAAAACGGTAGAAAATTGTTTAAGATGGTTTGGATATATACAAAGAAAACCACGGGAGGCGTCGGTATAGAGAGTGGAATGAATAATTTTGAGTCTAGTAAAGAGGGGTAGAGGAAGGCCAAAGAGAACTCTTTATAAAAGTTGTTGACCGAACCTCTTAGGTAATAACATTCCTAAAAGTTTGGTAAATGATAGAGCACAATGGCATCATACAATCCAAATAGTTGACCCCACCTAATGGGATAAGGCTTATTGTTGTTGTAGTGTGACCTTGAGTGTCACTAATATTTCTTTCATCTTTTTGTAGACTTCATAGCTACTAAGACAAGATTTGCTGTTTTCTGGATTCCTTTTTGATTCAAACACTTTTGGAACCTGCGCAAAACCTGCCAACTGGCCTACTCATGTTGACAGAACCACGTCTGGACTCCAAGTGCCACTATGTGCCACTTCAATATTGATGGGACAGACACTGCTCAGTGACGCATGTGAGCATGTAGAGCTCTTCCTTTGTCCACTGTTTGCCAAGGTCACAAGCTCTGCATTGTCTATCCCCAACCCTTCACCTTCCTCAGTTCAGCCTTGTTCCTAGTTTTTGAAGCTATCCTCTTTTGCTCTACAGGTCTGTGTTATCCTCTAATTGTCACCCGTAGTCACCTTCCAAAGGTGCTTCAATGAAAATACGTTATACTTTAAGGCGGTATTTAAAGCATGACCAAACCACCAACTTGTACCATTACCTCAACCATGAGAGCACCATACATTCTCAACATTTTGTTGCAATTGCTGTAGGAAGAAAAATATTAATTGTTAACCGTATGTTTTCATTGCCATTTTTCATGTGGCCTTCATTGCTACTAAATTTTTTGTTTGTAGCTTTCATTTCTATTGAGATGTTACCTTTCCCTCATTTATGGCCTTCATTATCATCCTTTTCATTTCAAAGCATTTAGGTGACCAACTTGCATCACTTATCAAAGGATTATCTTGTGAAATATGTGGTCAAATCTGTAAATATTTTGTAAATAGTCAAATGCATTTATTCCTAGGCATATACATCAAGTGATTTGGGGAGAGATTAGATGAATTAATTTGTCATTACTCCTGTAGATCTTTTTCTTCCTTTTCTGCTATCTGGTAAAATACGATGGAATTTTGGGCTCTATGCCCATAAATATTTCAAAACTTAATCATCAACCTAGGCATGGAAGACATGAATTTCCTACCTTGATGGGGAGTGTTCGAATTGTAAATAATGTTTTTTTTTTTAGTTGTTTTTGTTTTAATTATTTTCATATTCAACAATGTTTTGTAATTCCTTTGAGTAAGCCCTCTTCGTGTGGGAAAAAAAAGCCTCATTCTGAACAAGAAGTGAGAATTTAAGACCATTTGTCGCTTAGTGATATTGATTTGGCTTATTTTGTTTTAGATATATCTTCTTACTCATGAAATGACTTGTCCAGGGGGATGTCGTTCTCTCAAATACATGATAATAATGTAATGCAAGGTAGAACCAGAGAAAGAATATTCAATGGCAATTGGTCTCAACCTTCACCAGACCATGATGACGCTGGATTGACTTCTGTTTATGAAGGTATTTTATGAATATTAAAGATGGGCTCCGGCTGCCTCCCTCTATACTAACCATTTACATCAATTTAGATGGCCCGGGAATAGAGAATTTTCAAATTGTTGGTGATGCTGTTCCTGGGGAGAAACTTCTTGGATGTGGATATCAAGTACGGGGGACTTCTCTCTGTATGTTTCAGGTTAAAATTCTTGCCAATCGTTTGTTTGGTAACACAGCATCCAATTTTTCTCTCTTATTACTGATATCATCATAACTGCTGGTTTTGCATTAGTGGGTTCGGCATCTTCAGGATGGTACTAGGCAATACATTGAAGGTGAAATGAATTCCAATTCTTTTTGCACTGAGTTGATGGCCCTCATTGAAGTTAAACGTGATTTTTTATCTTTTTCGTTTTTCTTCGCTCAGGTGCCACTAATCCTGAGTATGTAGTTACAGCTGATGATGTTGATAAAGTGATATCTGTTGAGTGCATTCCAATGGATGATAAAGGCCGTCAGGTTTGATAAGACTTTATTTGCAAATTTCAGTGGTACAGAGCGTTATGAACGTTATATGGACATGGTGAATAATTTATTGTTTAATATATGCCTATTCATTTGTGCTATAAACAATCTTACCTATCACATCTTCCACATGATTTTGTTGTTTTACAATTGGTGCTATGCGGAGAAAGAATACTATTTTGATCTAACAATGAACTAATTATCATGACCATGTGACCCACAGACGGAGGACTTCAATGGCATATATCAATTATATTATAGCTTAAGAAAATTTAGAAGATATTAAGACAAAGTGAAAGGCTCAATAAACTTTATGCTGTGACAAATAAATTCACTACCAAATATTAAGTGACATTGACCTTTTATCAAAGAAAAAAATGGATACTTGGCTAATTTATGCTCCTTTTGTTTCTATTTGCACCCATCTTGTAGATGCGCTTACTATGAACTGTGTCACCTAATCATCAATCTTCTAGTTGATGATATCCACTAGCAGCTTGAGGGGGAGTATTTGAAATTATTGTAGTTATTGTGATTAATGTCCATAGCTGACCCTCGGGATTAGGCAACTGTTTAGGAAATTAAACAATCACTAATTGATAGGGTGGCTGTTTATCATTTACTTCATCTCATAGAATAGTTTCTCTTCGCAATTACCCAAGTAATTTGACTCTTCAACACAATAGGAAATTTGACGTTTTGTTTGGAATACAAAATAAAATAAATCAAAATAAAAGACTATGAAGTCCATTTCAATATAATGGATTGTACTGATACAAAGGTAAGATGGGATAAAAAGCATTAAGAAATCCTTGTATGGCAGTTTTCAAATTTGTTGAGGTTTTAGGTTCCCTTGATCTTTGCCATGCTTCCAAATGAATTCAATCATTCAAGATTTAATATATGTTATTGTAGTTGTATTTTTTAAAAATAATATATAGTAGAAATGGAAGATATATCATTTCATCTATGAAATGTATTCCTGATGATTTCTTTTTGTCAACATTGTTGTCTTAATCAGGGGGAGCTAGTGAAGCTTTTCGCTAATGATCAAAATAAAATAAAGTGTGGTAAGTTTGTTTGCTGCTGGCTTTTAAAGCATCTACTTCAATTGGAATTTATTTTTTCCTCTTAAAAAAAAAATGAAATAAGTTAAGATGCTACAAATAAATTTTCTAGCACAAATGATGTCAATATGAAAGAAAAAATAATGGTTCCCATGTAAAATAGTTACCCCCCACCCCAAAAAAAAAAAAAAACAGAGAGAGAGAGAACTATATGATACTGGGTACTACTGATACAGATTCAAGTTGCAGTGGAGAGATGGGGAGCTCTCCTAGTGTGATGTTTCCTATACACAAGAATCTAATTCGAAACTTTACATAAAGGATATTTTTTCCTTCCCCATGTGAATTTATATTTGGATTAGAACAATTTTCATGATCATTTCTCCCAACTTGATCCCTTAGGCTGAATGGAATTTAGCATAACGGCTTCACATGCAGTAAAACCTTTATTTCCCTTATTCGCACTCCTATATTTTCTCAACAACTCAATCTAAGCCTATTCTTGTGATCTCCTATTGCCGTTCCCCTCTCAGTGCATCCCACAATAGATCTAATACATAAACAGTGTCTAATAATTTGTGGTTAATGAAAATAGAATGATAGATTAATTATGATGGGAATCAATTGCGCTAGATCTCTGTGCAATCATAATCAGTAAACAAATCCATTGAAACAGAAAATCTAAAGGTATGCATGACTAAAAGTCCACACTTAGCTTGTTTTTATATATGCTAAAGCCGTCTGTCTCTGCTTCAAAAATATTTATTCACCTAATGCACCAAGAAACCTCATAAAAGACGTCAGGAGATAAGATTTGGAGATAAGGAATTACTGCGAAATATACAAATGCGTATGAAAACTTTTTACTTTTTATAGTTTAAAATAGGCAGGTCCTCTTCTATCGTAATGATAGAAATGAGGCTGAATCCAATTTCGGTTAACCAGTTAAAGGTTTAGAATAGTTGATTCTTCCTTCTTTATGAAAAATTGTAGTTAAATGAAGGAAATAGGGAATGAAGTACGAGGGGTAGAAGATCATATGTATCTTTTTCATAAAGCTAGTGAGACCGCTTGTTTGTCACAAACATTTTTCTTTCATGGCATGTATTGATATAAAATAAAAATACTGCTAGAGGCATTTGTGATTGAACAGCTTAGGCAATGTACATTTTTGTCTTTGATGGTTGCCTCTTTATCAATTGTCTTTCTTTACTTCCTCCTTTCCTGATGTCTTATAAACACATTCTTCTGATGAATTTATAGATCCAGAAATGCAGCGAGAGATTGATACAAATATGGCTAGGGGACAAGCATCATTTAACGTTCTACTTCTTGTAAGTCTGGTTCTTTGCTTCACACATCTTAGTGCCATGTGATAGTATTTATCAGAAGATAATGCTCCAAATGAGATCATTGACTTAATTACTTAGCCAAATACCCTGTATGTCTATTTATGAATCAAGATAATTGGAGAGATGTTCTATGAATTCTTGGTTATTTTGTTAGAAATTAGCTACATGAGCAGGTGATCACAGCCTGCATGCCAGTGGACCCTAATTGAAACATGTATTTAGTTATTTACAGAGACCAAATTGAAACAAATATTCTGCATGGATAAAGCACTTATCATGACCTTCATCATCATCGTCATTGTTATTATGATTATTATTCCTATTATTATTTTTTAAAAGGTTAAAGGACAATTTCATTAGCATTTGGGACCCTAAACTCATTTTTAGTGCAATGTTCATCTTTAATTTTTAAAAATGGGACAATGTCACCCTTATCATCAACAAAAGTTAACTTTAACTGTTAGCTAACTTGAAAATTATAGAAAATGACTTTAAAAATTACAAAAAAAAAAAAACCAAAAAATTTTATTGGTTTTCTTCTATAATTTTTTAGATCCTTTTCAATAATTTTTTTCATCAACTGAAGGTTAAAGTTAACATTTGTCAATGATAGGAGTATTGCATTATTTTCAAAAGTTAAAAGGGTACATTGTACCAAAAACGAGTTTAGGGTCTCAAACATTCCTAAAGCTATAGTTTAGGGGCTAATTTTTCAGTTAGCCTTATTTTAAAATCTGATTCCGCATAGAACCTTGGTCATAACATCAGCCAATTCTGTCAGAGCATAACTTTGTTCTAGAATTCCATGTTCAACCTTCTCTTTCTAATTCGTCACTTTCATGGCTTCAATGACATGAAATTTTTTTCCTTCCTCAACCTTTGAAGTTACCATATGTTCATATGAAATTGACTGAAGTTTTGTTTCACTGTTGGTGAAGGACACCTCCTCAACTTCTATATCTAACCACCTGTTTACCAGTTTCAATAATACTTTCATTATTTCTTTAATATCCTTTCATGCTTCCATCGTCTCTTCCCTGTCTCCACGCCATTTTCCATTTATTCTTTCTTGGTTTGTCACCACTCTAGTTCCAATTGGTAGGGCCTTGACAATTTCTACCAGAGCCTTGACAATTTCTACCAGAACTGATGTGAAATGTGCTATATAAAGAACAGCTATACAAGTTCCCCAGAAGAACAGTTATACACGATTTTATGTAAGAAACAATACAATCACAAAGTTACTTCCTGATACAACTCCCTAACTCGGACCAACCCTACCATACAGACGCACAATGATGCAAATTCTGTCGAGATACCTCCGCAACAGAATACTGAACCGCACAAATGTTACAAATGGACTGATAAAGTGGAGATATGGACTGCTGTTTAGAACACTAGCAACTAAGATGAACGGAAGGACTTAAATACTTGCTACACAAACACATGCTATGAGTTTAAATACTTGCTACACAAACACATGCTATGAGCACATTACAGAACTAGAACCTCGAGAGTATAACTAGCCAACTTTTGATTTGGATCTCTCCAAACTTACCACAATTCTTATTCTGCCCCTTTTCCTTCTCAAGTGGCCTCTCTATGTATATCCCACTAAAAAATTTCTTTCATTGCTCCTCCTACCTCATTATGATCACTCCCTTCTTTTTCTCCTTAAGTTTTCTTTCTTTTTTGTATATAAACTTTTGGGTCCTTTGTTGGATCATGAGCCCTACCTTTTTGACGTTGCATGTTTTGATGGCAGCAATGGATTGCGACCCATCAACCAATTGTATTATTTACTGAATGAGGACTCTGACAGTTTACAAGTTTGGGAGGAGGCCTCTATTTATAGGCCTAAGACAAAGAGAAGTTTACAACAATGCTCCTAGAACTAAAGAATTTTACAAAGAATACCGAGGAGTTAGTCTATTTACATCTACAATAATTTAAAAATAACTTAGTACTTCCACAGTTTTCAAAACTAATACATAAATTCAAAGTTGAGATATCTTTTTGAGGAACGAGTTGCATAGTGAATTGTATTATTCGTTCTTATTTGAAGCTTAAACATTTACAATAGGTAATCTGCTATGCTAAACTAATCTCTAGGCATTCGTCATTTTAATACAATTCTTTTGGATATCATCTGTATTTTATATTGGATAATTTTATTCATTCTCAATTCATAAGTTTAACTTTCATATCCAATTTTTCCTACTCGTATCTTATAGAGGGATTCTTCTGAAAATTGGGAGCCAGCAACTCTATTTTTGGGACGATCAGGGTACAAAATTACGATTAACAGCCCAGAAGAAGTGGTAGTTGCAGAAAAATTCTCCTCAGAGTTATCGGTATGTCCTACAGTCATTAAGAGTTTAATTGCAGTAGTTTCAATGTAAATCAAGAATTTACATTCCTCACCTATTTGGTTACACAGGATTTCAACTGCAAGTTGTCAACTAATAAAATGTTTTGTGAAAAACTTTGTTAAAATATTTTGGCCAAGCATTCTCATTGATGTTCTAAATTTGTAGCTCAGGTATGATGTTATTGGGAATGGGAAAGGTAAATTGGCATGTGTGATATTAATGTTAGGAATATGGTGCAATATATATATATATATATATTTTGGAATCCCATGATTTATTCTGTTACTTTTCTGCATATACTGTACAAAAGTCAACATTTTATTCTCTTACATTGATTTTGTTCATCTTATGTCTATGGAAACACCTGGTTGGGAAAAAAGCCTGAAAGATAAAGAATAAGCACCCTTGACAAAAATGGAATGTCAGAGCTTACTGATTTACCCTTGAGGATATTGGAAGCATCTTCAACATGGAGCAAGGCTGGCGGTTGAAAGTGCTTACTCAAATATTCAAGAAACTTCTGCACCAATGGATTGTGACTGTTATAGTTGTTAGTTATATTAGAGCTCTTAGGAAACTAGCCGTTAGGATGATTAAGGTGGGTTAGAGCCTATAAATACCCTGACATACATTTGCAAATCCTATGCTATGATATCAATAACAATTTGCGTACTATTCAGTGAATCTGTCTAGTCTCTCTCTCTCTCTTCTTCTCAATCCCTCTGAACTCTCTGATTCCTTCATTCTTCTCTGTTCTTCTCTCCAATCCTCCCTATCTCTCTCTATATTAGAATTTTTCTAGTATAACTGTCACGATTATAATTATGTAACAATACCCCCCCAAAAAAAAAAAAAAGAAACTTGTCCTCAAGGGTCAATCACAACAAAATCTGGAAATTTCTGTTGAAACTGATAAAGTGACATCCATGAGGCTTCTTCATCTGGTTTATTTCTCCACTGTACTAGAATTTCAGTAATAATTCCCCCTCTTTTCCTACCAATTCATTTGTTCAGAATCTTTTCTGGTTCTAGTGCAGGTGGCAATGCAGGCCAATCATTAGCAGGATGTCGTTGCTTTAGGGTTTGGACATAGTTTTAGAAGTGACATGTGGAACACAGGATGAATCCTTGACTCGAGGTAGTTCCAATCAATAAGCAACAGCTCCAATTCTCTCCAAAACTTTGTAAGCACCAAAATAATGAGGAGATAATTTCTGGGAACTCCTTGTAGCTACTGAGATTTGTCTATAGGGCTGTAGCTTGAGAAAAACCCACTGTCCCACAGCAAATTCTCAGTCAATCCTGTGAGAATCAGCTTTCTGCTTCATCATATTGGCTGCCCTGAAGATGATGCTGTAAAACACCCATTACTGCCTCCCTACCTGTAAAAGACCTGTCCAAAACATCTAAAGCAGGGCTGTGGGATAAATAAGGGAAATGGATATGACTTTTTTTTTTTTTTTTTTAACTATCCCAAGCTGAATGGTGGTATAACACCGCATTCCATACAACCACTAAAGCAATTCCTCATGAAATTTTGTACGGTCAAACAATAACAAGTTAGCAGTTATATGGTCATTTTTTCAACCATTCATGAGTTTTAAATGGGAATTTGTGAATGCAACAAGCCATCATGGATATACCTGTTTGGGTGACCACTCTGGTTCCAATCACCTTTTCTGAAGTTTTGCCTTCAATACCAAGTGTAGGAACTTCATTAACTCTTGTTGGAGAATGTTCTGTTATTAATCTATAATCGTGTAATTACTTCAGTATTATTTATGGGTATTATTATAATAATCTCTCACGATAAGCATTTATGTCTTGGAGCCTCTCCCTTGTGTATATATATACATAGGCATATTTTTGTGAATAATATGCACAAGGAATTTTTCCCATTCTCTTTTAACAGTTTACAGTCCTGTATTGGTTACAATCATACCGTGAATATCGCTCTAGTTTTTGGTTTCCATGTCACTGATTTTTCATGAAGTTTCCACCAGTTGACCTTGATGTGACCTGTTCTATGCAATACTTAATCCAAGTTCTTCCCTGTATGCTATATTATATGATCCATTAGTAATGAGGGCTAGATTCTCATGTTCTGGTCTAACAGCCTTGGTTAAGCCCTCTCCAACTTCCTTCCTGCTTTGCAAATAGTTTCTGGTAATAAGCAGAATTTGTAGCACACGTCCTATTGTGGTTTCCATACAAATCAACCTGCTGCCAATAATCTATCATAGCCTCCCCTGTAAGCAATTATGCAACTAGCATTTGACCTGGAAGATACTAGCAGTATTATCAACAGAAGAGAATGACTACTGAACATCTCTGTCAAATCTTCCTAGCTGTTTTATAGAGTGAAATTCTCTCTCACTGGTCCTAGAGTTAATTAGAATTATCTGCATCCCAATTGAATATTGTTGGGTCATTTGGTCTAGGCTGAGGAGTGTTATTAGATAACCAACCTTTCCTTCCCTTCACTTATCATCAAATTGAAGTGAGTCAAGTAGCTGTAAAGTCTCAGCTTGTACTCAATGATGAGAATCAGAGAAGCTTCATGGGAGGTTGAAAGATTGAGTCTTTTGTGCTGGATAATGCTCCATGGGCATTCATTGCTGCCATGGCTTACTCAATGGATGAGCTTAACTGAGAGTCTGCGTTGAAGGCGGAACCATTGCCAACCACTTTTTGAGGTTCATTTGGCTTCATGCTTTGATACCATTAAACACAGTTGTGTCAGCCAAACACATAGGAAGAAGACATATATAGGAGAGACGTAACCATTATAATGGCAATCAGTCCCATGATTATAGCAATGACTGCAACCAATTGATTAATATTCTGTAGTTGTAAGAATAATTTTGATTTGCGCTGGTGTCGATGTTAAAAGTTGGACATATACATGTTGGATTGTTGGGGGACAACTTTCTGCCCTTTCTGTCTGGCATATAACTCCAATTTTCTTCTCAATTTTTTAATCATTTTGCTGATTACTGTATCTTGTTTAGGGGTTTAAAACACACTTCATTTTATTGTTTTTCTGCAGATAAAAGTTCCTTGCGGTCTCACAAAACAGTTTGTATTAACATGCTCAAATGGATCTTCCCATCCATTATGCACTCATGATGTTCGGTAATACATGTTTTATTAATTTCAAAACTGTTTCTTTTAATCGAGTCCGTTAGCTTTGGTAAAATATGTTGTGTCTCATGCGCTCCAAATATACACTTTCAAATCCCTGAATGTACCCTAGTTCCTAATGACAGGAATTGACAGGCAAAATCTCCTATTTACTCTTATACTGTAGACTATTATCATTCATAAAATACTTGGGCATTAAACTTCCTTACAATATGTAGTGGGAACATATATTCTATATTCTCTTCCTCTCATTCTTGATCCTGGTGTAGCTGATAGTTCTTGTGCACATCCTTTTAAATAATTTACTTCAAGTAAATTTTTGTCCTATATTTTCCTTGGGTATTGCTACTTTAGGTTTCACTTAAAAGAATATAGTATCCCTAAATCATGTGTAGCAAGTATACATTTGAAAGTGGTTTGTTATAGATATCATTTACAGTATTCATTATCCTTCATTTTGTAGAATGCGTGACACTCTTGTGTTGACTATGCGGATGTATCAGAGTAAGGTATGGCTTTGCCTTTTAAGAAATTCTTGGATATCACTGACAAAGTCATTGACAAGTAAATGTAGCATTGAAAATAAGTTTTCACAAATTTTTCTTCAACTTGAATAAAAATTTCTTGAATCTTTCATTAGCTTTTTGTTTCTTCCTGGTTCGTAAGAGGTAGATGTAACTCTATTATTAGATTTCCTTACTAATTAAGTGGCCTCTGGTGCATTACACAGAATGTGATCATGAGTTGCACTATTCATGGCTTGTGAATAATGCAAAGTGTTATGAATTTTATATTTTATATTAATTAGGTTGAAATATACAAAATTTCTCTAAATTTGAAATAGTTGAACAAAACCCTCCTCACATTTAAAAGTTTAAAATTAACCTCCCTAAAACTTTTATTTTTCTTACCACAAGCTTCTATACTGTTATTTTTTAGTTATCTTATTAACAGAAATTGCCATGTCATATTAAAAAAAACACATAACAGCTTATGTGGCATCTAATGTAAGCTATTAATAGTTTTATAAAAAATTTATCCATATTTTTCTTCTTGTTGGTTTACATCAAATGCTACATGAATTGTTACGTGTCTTTTTTAAATATGACATGGCAACTTTTACGTGTAAGATAACTAAAATATAACAGTAAGAGAGTTTGTGGTAAAAAAACAACAAAAGGTCAGGGAGGTTAATTTTAAACTTTTAAATGTAACTTTTTGTGCAGTTATCTTAAAGTTCAAGGAAGTTTAGTATACTTTAGTTTATAATTAAATATTGGTTTCCATCATCGTGTTGAAGCTATATTCTATCCATTGTTCACAGCAGTCTTGTAAACGAGTGCTGTGAAATAATTGGGTATTAGTTGTCTGACATTTCTTCTTTTTGGAACTTCCTTTCTGTTGGGGAAACAGGCGTTGGATGACAAAAAGAAAGGAAGAGCATGATCTCAGAATCGTGTCCAAATAAGAAAAGAAAGGTATTACATTGAATTAATACATCACCTGGAGATATTTTACAATTATTTTGGTTCTGTTGTTATTATTAATTTATAAATGTTTATGATGTAAGTAGGAATTGTAGCATGCAATTTGCCTTGTGATTTTACAGTAGCCTCCCCTGTATGCAAATTTGTTTACTTCACTTTAACAAAGTTATTCAAAAGTTATCACGCTTGTGACTTGTGCTTTTAACATTAATTTGCATATTAATAAAATTTTTATTCTCATAAAAATATATATTATTTTTTCTTTTTACTTAGTTTCCATTTATGATGAGTGAAAAAAGGTTATAATTCACAATCACAAGAATCTAGATTAATAAATAAAGGGGTAAAATGTGAAAAAAAAATTAAATACTAAGCTGTTTGTATTGAATCATGATTAACTGGGAGAAAATATATACATGCATATACATATACATATTTATTTTGGATTGGAGGGAATAATTTTTTTAGTCACTTGTGAAGTGATGTTCGCACTCTTAAAAGTTGTGACCTAAAAATAAATCTAAACAGCCTTTGTTATGTTAGTTCAATATCTTTATTCCTTTAATATGTTAAACGTTCATAAATTTGGATTTGGTGTATCAAGCTTCTCAAAGGAATTAAAATATAGTTGAGTACACTCAAGTCATCAAAATCTTGAGAAAATAAATTTTAGTAATCAAGACAATTCATAAATAATTTTTTCAAGTTAAGAATGATATTGATTTTGAAAAGAAAGTTCAAGGTTTAAAATGTTTATAATTTCTAAATTATATATGAAAAATATGGAATGAAGTGAAATCCATTTAACCAAACAAACAAATAAGTTTTTCAAGATTTAAATTCATTGTCATCATTATAGAATTCTAAATTCAATTTATTTGGTTCTTATAACTCATTTAACATTAAATAAAATATCTAATCACCATTAAGATCAGGTGACTATGGTGTAGATCAAGACACAATCTCTGAAAATTATGCCAAACAATGACTTAATTTTAAAATTAAACTTGCATTGCCTTTGATCATATTTTAATACTTAGAACCAATTAAGAATTATGTAACTAACTTTAATTTAAGACCTAATAGAAGTTAAATAATTCAGGCATCATAATAAGGATTAAATAGATTAATATTTACACAACATTAACGATTGAATCTTAAATTCAAACTTATTGTGTGCATCATCGTTTTTGTGTGTGGTGGACTGAACTGGGAGCGTTGAACCTCGGACTGAGAAGAAGACGAATGCGATGGTGTCTCTGGCTGTGAGGTGGCTGTGCGATCTCATGGCTGAACTCTGAACCCAGAGGAAGATGTATGCAATGATGTGTGATCCTGTGCTTGCATCTGATGGTGGAGATGAACGAACTGATTCTCCTCTCTATTCTGCGTTTTTTTTCTTCTTTTTGAAAAGTCAAAAAAACCGATTTAAAATAAGAAAATTACTAAATTAGCCCCCAAATGTTTAAAAACGCAAAATTAAACCAATCTAATAAAATTGAAACAACAAAGTTTTAAAAGTGAGAATAAAAATTGTCCAAATAATAAAATGTGTTAAAGAATTGAAATTTCAAATTAAAAACAATTAATTTTAATAAAATGTGTAAAATAATCAGAATGCTCTTAATGTCAAAACTCAATGCAAATGAATTGATGATTAAATTCAATGTTAAAATCATGTATATAAGGGTTTAAATTAATAAAATATGGTCACAAATATATTAAAAAAAAACTGTACAAAATATGTGATTCATCAATGTAGTTGTCACAGAAGTGCATCATGTATATGTATCAAACAAGTTTGTATTATTAATTTAAAAATAAAATATTTTTACTCCCTCCTTATTTTACCTTAATTATACATTTCTTTTTCCTATTTTCAAAATTTATACAGAACTTTTTTAGTATGAATAGTTACAAAATATAAATATCTTCATATTTTTAAAATTTCATTATTATCCATCTAACAAATAGTTAATTGTTAAGTTATATATGTTAAACTAAAATATCCCTCTTTAAATATAAATATTGTCTAAAAATCATTCCAATTGCCCAATTTTTTATTTATATTTAAAATTTTTTAGTAATGTAAACGTATTAATTTAGTAATTTTTAAAATTTTAAGTACATCAATTGTCTAAAATAATAATTAAACACGCAGTTAAAATAATTAGATGAAAGAAGGATTTGATATAATAAATTACAAAATATAATTTATATTTATTTTTCTTCAAATCTCATTAGTTTTAACACAAATTTTTAAATTATTTATTTAAATATTGTTATACTTAACTATTTAAAGTTTTTTTAAATATGGGGAGAGAGTAGATAACTAGATCATAAGGACAAGTTAATAATTTTTAAAATTTTAACATAATTATAAATAATCAATTAAGCATCTCAAAATTTTTAACGGAATATTTTAGTGGTGTTAAAATTTGAACTAAATTGTTGGTCAAAAATAAAGGAGGGAACTTTGTAATTTTATCAAAACAAGAGTTATTATTGTGTTTTACTTTAACCTGACACGTTATACATATTATTTTTCACTCTTCACAAGTTTTATTTAATAAATAAAAAAAGTGCATCCAGTGCATTTTTCTAAAAAGTGCAATAGGTCCAATTTTAACGTAGTAAATAAGTTTCGTTACATGCATACATATAGAATAATGAAACCATATGCGAAATGAAAAGTATTTAAGTATATTTAGTATATCATATCATTTATAATTTGTCTAATTAAAATACTCTAAGTAGTTTAAATAAAATTTTATTTGATATTTTTTTAAATGATTTTATTTTTATAATATGATACACATTTGATTTTTTGTATTCTCTCTCTCTTATTATTAATATTAAAATTAATTTATATTTAATATTATTTAAATGCCTTATTTTTATTAGAAGATCATAGGTGATACGGTGCATCCATTCTATTGAGTATTTCTCCTAGGAAAAAGGTGAATGCCAGCTGATTTATCAAAAGCATTTGCATAATAATTAATTTTTTTAAAAAAAAAGTAAATTTCACCAAATCTTGAACAATGTAAAATCTAAAGTATGATGAGTTTTTATTTTCAATTTGCGTAATTAAGTCCTTTTGAAATCAGTTCGTGGATTGAACGATACCCCACAAAAGAGTATTGACTATTGATGACTAGCTACAGTATGTTCTATGCCTTGAGTCCTATTTTACTCAACGAACTCACAAGTAAAAATGCTTCACCATTTTGACAATTATGATGAGCTAACTAATTCTTATAGATTAATAAAATTCAGTTAGTTACTTATTTGTTAAAAAAATGTGTATTAATTTTAGGGAAAATATCATTTAAGAACCCTGTGGCGTTTTAATAGTAAAGAATGATCCTAAAAATCTGAAATACCACCGCACAACCTGAGACCTATCTGAAAATAAAATTTTGGGAGGAAAAAAAAATCTAACTAGACCTGTGAACATCCCATTTTGTTCCGGCTCTCACAAAAAAATAAAAGAATAAAATGAAAAATTGAAGAGCCTTTTTTAATAAAATAATAAAAAATAAAATTAATAAATAAGAATTAAATGAAAAATTCACAAATTTGTGCCTTAATATGAGTATTCAATTTGAAGAAGTCAAATAAAATTAATCACAAATTATGATTTGATAGGATTCAACCATTAAGGTGTGAAATCCTAATTTTTATCTATAAAAAGGTGATAATCAAGGCAAAAGAGGATGAAAAAGGAGGCAATAAATAAAGAAGCTTGAGAGAGTTTGTTATAAAGGTAAGGAATATTTGTTTTCTTATATCATCTTCACTCATTATAATATGATGTTAGAATTGGATAGGAAAGCTCTAGATAAGATAATACTAATTGCTTATTATTCTAATACTCTAAGAAAAACCAATCCTCTCATTTGTGATCACATGTATGATCTTTTAAAAATTAAAGGCTAAAGGGTATAGGATTACTAATAATTTTGATGATCATTTTGATTTTCATTCTTCCCCTTTGAAAATTCCAGTGTGCATGTGTTTATATATATTCATATAGGTTCCTGCATTGGATTCCCTTTCTCCTCTCCCAGACCCACTCTTTTTTTTTTGTTTTATTTTTTCTCTCTTTTTTCCTTCCCTACCTCATTATGAATCTACTCCTTTAATCCTATTTATAAATCATTTTCAACATGTTTCACCAGTATTAAAGAAAATTTTAAAACTCATTAACTCTATCTTAAAATTTAATAAATTTTTAACTTTGTCCCTATTAAATATACATAATTCAATAATATATTTTCTCTCTCCAATATTTAATGAAAAGTAAAAAAATTTATAATACAAATTTAATAACATAACTTTTAAATAAAATTAAATTTTTTTTCTCTCTCAACCCTAAATAGGATCAAAGGGAGTAATTTCCTAGAGTATATCAATCCTTTTTTTAGTCTTGTGGGTCCCATGTGTGAAGCATCTATTCCTATATGTACATATGTGTATTTTTCATTCCTCTATCCTTTTGGTTTTAATTCTTCCTTTTTATTTTTTTTTGTTTCCTTTTTTTTTCCTCTTTAGCCTCTCAATCAACTTTAACTACAAGTATCAGCTTTCTTTCTTCTTCTTTTTTTCTTGCTCCAAGTGTGGCCTCATTCGTATAGGCAAAAGAAAGGAAAATATACATGTGATTTTGCCATAATGAGCATACACGAACACATACATTCAAGTACATATGTGTTGGCTGGTTATTATTATTATTATTATTATTTTGCTTACGAGATGAAGATGATTGAAATAATCATCTAAGTTGTTAAGTGATAAAGTCATAAAGGTTTGATCTCTTATTTTTTTTAATGAGTCATTTATATTATTATACCCTTCTCTAGCATACACTACACCATATAATTTAAGACTATTATGTTTGTATTATATTTTTTTGTTAGTTTCTACAGGTAACTATTTTATTGGTATGCCATATGTGGCAATAGACCATCGTAGGCACACTAGTCATAATGCTTAATGGATTTGTTTTATTCTATTTTTTTTAAAGGAGAGTTTTTTTTTGTAACTATAAATAGGTTGGGAAATAATTTCTATGCCATGTGATATTTCAGAATCTTCACAAGCATAAAATAAATTAATTTTCATGTGAGATTTTGTAAATCTCCACAAAAATTTCAATCTAATTTATTTTTTTAAAA